TACGTGGCCTCGAGCCCTTTGATTGTGTGCGTGGGTGGTGCTGGTAGTGGTGGTTACAAACATGGTTTTTGTAAACTTGTTTCCAGGGGTATGAAGAAGTGGGGAAATTTAGAGAATCCAAATGCCTAAGTTTCACAATTGGTTTCAAATAGCACTTAATTAAAATTTATTATTATTATTTTTTAGAGAGAGGGCAAAGGAGGGAGAGAGGCAGAGAAACATCAATGTGGGTTACGTCCCACATGCCCCCAATTGGGGACCCAGCCCACAACCCAGGCATGTGCCCCGACAGGGAATCGAACCAGTGATTATTTGGTTTGCAGGCTGGCACTCAATCCACTGAGCCACACCAGCCAGGGCTTAATATCTCTTTTAAATCTATATTTTCAGCCTAGATGCCCCTCAGATTCACCTGGGGGAGCTTTACAAATCCCAATGCCAGGACCCCAACACAGACCAATGAAATCAGAATCCCAAGGGGTAGGCTGGTGGCATTGGTATTAAAGCTTCCCATGTGACTTTACTATCAGTCACCACTGAGAACTATTTGTCTAGATCCTCAAATGGAATGTGGATCCATCCTGCAAATGGCACATCCTACACTCCTCCCCACCAAAAAGAACATATTGCGTGTAACTGGACAGTAGACTCTAAAACTGCATATGGTACTCCCAATTGGCACATTCAGTGTTCCTAGACCAATACTGTTTGTACTTTATGTATGTTGGCTGCTTCAGAGCGGCCTGCACCCCAGACAGATTAAATCCCAGGGGAGTAGACCCAGGCATGTATCATTGTGAGAACCTCGCAAGTGAGTCCAACGGGCAGCCAAGGTTGAGAACCACTGCTTTAAATGGTACCTGCTTTGTCTGGAAGAGGAAGTAAAGGCAAGGCTGCCCCCGTTAGTCCCAGGGAGCAACAGTAACCTGGCAGCAGCTGCACACAAGTGCTGAGTGCTGACTCTCCCAGACCTAGATTTATGGCCTTGGACAGACAACAGAACCCTAACTTTGCATGGTGCTGTCCTCCCTGGTACAAATTAAGGCTTAAATAATTCTCATCAGTATGTGCGTAAAATAATTGGATCTGAATTTAAGACAACTTCCCTACCGTATCCTGGTTAATGTATTGATAATTTACAGGTTCTCACAATCATAAATAAGCTAGTTTTAAAACAGAGGAGAAGATATTTAAACCTAGTCATCTCAACACGGAATTTATTTTTAGTACATATTGAATCATGTAAAAAAATCACTTATATGAAAATTGATAATAGGATAACAACATGTACTCTCATCAATCACTAATCAATATGATTATCACTAATGTCTTTCAATTTAATTTTTGCTTCTTATCGTCATCAAGTTCATTAACTTTTTGGCAGGTAGAGGAGGGAACAGTGCAGACAGTATAGTCTGAAGGATGATAGCTGACTGATAAGACTATACACCCAGAAAATGCCAAGAAATGAAGCGAGTTTATTAAATAATTTGGCCAAGCAGTGAGACAAAGAGAAATATGCACTACTGCACTGCTTTTTATAGCAACTCTGTCTCCCACCGAAAACTCCATTCTCATCCATGGACAGAAAAAGCACATGCCAGCACTCGCCATCAGCTTTAGGCCCTACCTTTGAACCCCTGGACAAAGCTATCTTTTAATAATTAAAGGAAGTATTACATGACATAAAAATATATTTATCATGGTCTGATTAACAGGTGTGAATGAAAACCAACGAGGTCTTCATTTTCTGCCTCCTCGGGACCAACAGCCTTGGACCAGCTGGGTGCTCGACAGCTGCTGTTGAATATGTAAATGGGAGGAAGGCGAATTGGCAAAGAAGTCTATCAAGCTGGGGCTGGCCCGTCTGGTCTGGTGGCCTCGGAAGCAAGACCTAGGGATCTCTGGAGCACAGCCAGGCACAGGCTGAAATGGGAACTTGGGCAAAAGCACACTTAGAACCTCTTCAGTGCGACAAGATGGCAGGACATGGACTTGGGCAAGCTGGGTACCATGACAGAGAGATAAGGAGCTGGCCCCAGGGGTGGCCTCAGGATCAGCAAGGTGGGGAGGAGAGAACACAGGGTACAATAGCTGGCATTTCTCCCAGTGGAAGCACACTGCGTTGCCCATAGTTTAGTGCTTCTCTTGCAGGCCAGCCTAAGATTCTAGGGAGGATAACCTGGTATTTTAAATTCCTAGGAGAGTAGTAACAAAGCTAAATTCCTTGGAGAGCAGTGAAAAGAACTTCGTACCTGCCGGAAAGGGATACAAGATAAGAAATGATAATTACATGAATTTTCTGACTATTTGAACTGAGCAGAGGATAATCCAGAAGATCATGCTGTTCCTATCAACCTGTAGGGGTGATGATGAGGCCACATGACCTCCTTAAGCCTCTACGAACAGGGCAGTTTATAACTCTTCATGAGGACTGAGCATCAGAGAAAAAGAGAAAACAAGGGAACTTGTTTAGAAAGACTAAAAGATGTTTAAAAAGTTAACATTGTGGCAATAAAAAGCATTTCAGACATATCTGATCTGTATCACCCTTTTCCTGATGGTCATTAAAATGGCCAATATCAATATCCATTGATATAGTCCGCTTCAATATCCAGTGACTAGACGTTATTCAAAGGAGTGTAAGTGTGGAATGCCACTAACAATTGTACTGGGATGGACACGTCACAACATGTTAAACAGAACCCATTACCTGGTACAATTTAGGAGAACTGGTTAAAAAATGAATTTACCAATGATCTGCAACATGAACCTAAACACTAATAGCAGCCATCTCTAAATTAAGGAATTAGTACTGGTTTTTGTTTTCTTTCTTTTTCTCCCTCATGCCTTTTTTGGGGGGGAGGAGGATGATTTTTCAAGTTTTAATAACCATGTGTTAATTTTCCAATCAGAAAAAAAGCCATCATTTTACAAGAGTTCAAGTTATACACTGTGTAACACTATTTCAGATAGTAAGGCTTTGATGAAATTGGCCACCAAAGAACTTCTAATTTCAGGCTGCTGACAAGGAGATGGTTCTAAATCTTTCCTTTAAGGTCACTAACCACCAGGGGATGCTAACCACTGGGAATCCTGAACTTAGTGGGGGAGGAGTACCCTTGCCAGCTACATGGGTCTTTCCTCTGGGAAGTTCCAGGAACTCTGGAGAAGGCATGTAGCTGGGACAGCCGGCAGAAAGATCGATGAACTGGTCAAAGTTTGAGGTCTGGGGAGTGCTGTTCTGATTTGAGTCTCCCTAACCAGGGGCCAGTAAACATGTTTATTTTCTGTAAAGGGCAAGGTGATAAATATTTTAGGTTCTGTGGGCCATAGGAGCTTTGTTGCAACTAGTCAACTCTGCTGATGTAACATTAAAGTAGGGAAGATTATATACAAGAGTGAGTGTGCCTGGTTTGCAATAAGACTTCACTTACAAAAAAAGTAGCTGCTGACTCCTGATAAACTCTAGGTTTCCTAACTTAGTCCTAGAAGCTGAAGTGACTCGGTACAGGCCAAATCAGTCCCTGTGAACAGACGGGTCTTTACTGAATGCAGCTCCTCAAGCTCTTGCCATTCTGAGGGTCAACCAATGGTGACTCTTCACAGCAAAGGAAGGGAATACCATTATCAAGGTTATGTTTTTAAGTCATTTAATATGTGGGTTCTCCTCTAGCTAAACAATGAGGCCTGAAGTTTGACAAGTGAGTCTGTATTAAAACGCCATTGGTGCAACTCATAGAGTGACACATAAACAGAAGGTGTTTGATACCACCTTGCTGAATATTGAATGAAAGAATGAATGAATGAGTGTCCTCCGTCACCAAGCTGTTGTGAAATGTAGTTCTTGGGAGACATCTCTTGGGAACCACTCAAGCTCTGTTCAGGCAGACTCTACCTTGAATGGAACAATCTGTGTCCTGCTCAAATATACCCAGGCCTTCCAGAAGAAATTGCTCCTGCCCCAGGTAGGATCTTTCTCAAAGATGCCAACCCAGAGAGCCATGGAGTAGGTCTGGCCAAGGCTGTCCTTTCTAGCGGTTTTCTCAGGTCTTCTCAATGACTGTTTTCATGTGAAAGGTGTTCCAGGTGATGATGTGGATGAGTCCTTAGATCTTGCTGCATGACGTTAGGCCTCTCCACAAACCCCTGCATTGTTTTTTGCATTCCCTGAGCTCAGTGAAGGCGCCAAAGGGGTTGCCTTGTTAGGAAGTTCTCTCTTGCTCATTTTAACACAGTCACTATCTTCATCATTCTCCACAAATGAAAAACACGTAAAAGAGGTAAAAATTAATAGGGGAGGCCTCGCAGCTCTGAGGTGGAGGCTCTTCCCTCAGTGTGTTTTGATGGAACCCACAGCCCAGCCTCAGCATCAGGCTTTTGATGGGTCAAAACAGCCACTCCCAAGGAGACGGGATTATTGCTCAGACAGAAAGCGGCTGGGGTAAGCGCCATGTCAGAAGACGGATCTTAGGCAACACGAATAAACAAAGTACCTGCCTCTAATTTAGGAAGAGCCAGAATGCCTCATGAGATAAATATTTTGCAGGAAGAGTACACTGATCTGAAGGCTGGATCATGTACGTGTGTGCACAGAGGCACAGTCCACGAAATATATACAGAATGCACACATATATCTGACTGTATTCATTTTTATAAGTAAATGGTCGTTGAGAAGATGTGCACTTCATCCAAAGATCAGAAACCAAATCTGGGAATCCCAAGGTCCCCACCATACTCTCAATCCCTAGTGACAATTACTCCAGGTCACAGAAATTTCTGCACATAAAAATGAGAACAAAAGCTAGACAACACAGTATTCCAGAAAGAAATCCCAGGGCATTGGCCCTCAGACCCAAAGGCCAGAACCTCTCTGAGGTCCCAGCCCCAGATCCTGCTGCTGGCCCTGGACACACAAGGGCTTGAAAAGTACTGCAGCCCTCAGAACCCAAGATGCAAGAGCACAGCATGGAGTGTGGTAGGGGGTGGAGGCTACTTACGCTGTTGTTGCTTCCTTTGTTGTCCTCATACTTGGTTTCTATATGAATGGAGAATTTTGGCAGAAATGAACACTGCGGAAAAAAGAGTAAGGTTTCATTAGCATACCATCTTTCCTCTCTTCACATCTTCAGTATGGCCCCTGGATGCTGTCCTGACCATTTGGTCGGGAGCACTCCTTGCGATCGGCAAGGCTAAGATACTAAGATTTAGATCAGTGTCCAAATTCAGGCAAGAGCCATCTTTAGCAACGTGAACACAATTTCACCCAGAAGTCAGGCCAGAGAGAATGGCCAAATAATAAAAGGCAAGGCGCAGAAGAGGACATTTCCAAAAGGATTATGTTCTGAGTGGTCCTGCAGGCTGGAGAAAAGCAAACTCCTGAATCAGAGACAATTCCAGCTCTGGGCGCTCTCCTCTGGGGAGCAGCTACCACTGCTGGAACGTGGGGCCCCAGCATTACCCTTTTATAAATATTCATATAACGCTAGGCAGGTTGTATAGTAGAACCTGAAGATCATATTGTACATTACTGAAGTCAGACACACCTGGCTTTTAGTTTGGGTCTATCACTCCATAGCTATGTGACTTTGGACAAGTTATTTAGTTTTTGTGAACCTCAGCAGCATTAAAACAGGGGTGCTAATTATTACCTCGTAGTGACACTGTGAGGCTTAAATAAAATCATGTGCATAGAACACATAGTGCTGGGCACAGAGTCAGCATTCAGTGTGAGGCTATAGCTGAGCTTGACATAAAAGCAGGCCCTCTTCTCGCTGGCTGAGGGGATAGAAACCCCAAAGGCACGCCGCCCTAGTTTCCCAGGCTCATTGAGTTACATTCTATGGATTCAGTAGATTTTAAGTGTTAAGGTAGCTTAAAAAGATTTTGATGAATGTTGATGTAACCTCCCTCCTGCGAGCACCCAGCTGACCATAAACTTCCTTGGCCAGCAGAAATGGGATTGATGACCAGTGGGTGAAAAATGACCCAGGCAACTCCACTGGGAGTTGCAGGTGTTGGAGGAATGTGAGCTGGGCTGACAGATGCTCAGTCCTAAGAACACATATTCTGTGCCAGGCACTGGCCTAAGTGCTTGCAGGTTCTCATTCATTTATTCCTTGTCACCATCCTGTGAACTAGGTACTATTATTAATACCCTGCTCTAAAGATAAGGAAGCGGAGGCACAGAGAAGTTAAGAAAGTGGCTCATGATCACATAGCCAGTAAACAAGGAGTCAGGATCGAAAGTCTGGTGGCCTGGTCCCAGCGTCCATCCCCACTGGGTCTCGAAGTGGGATGTCTGTAACTTTAGCAGCAGCAGTATGGAACTTGTTAGAAGTGCAAGTTCTTGGGCCTGACCCCAGACCCACTGAATCAGAAACTCTAGGGGTGGGGCCCAGGCATCCGTGTTTGACAAGCCCTTCAGGGACTGCTGATGCTCACTCCAGTGGGAAAGCCGCTTGCTACTTCATGCACAGAACCAAGAGAATGGTTCATTATCTAAGATTCTGAAGTCCACAGTACCTGCCCTTCGCCATGTGCTGGTGATTCCCTTTCAGCCCAGCTGAGGTCACTAGGCCTCTGTACAATATGGCAGGGGCCTTGGACGTGCCATTGAAAATTTTCCTGATATTACATGACTGCGGGACTTGGCATTCAACTGTCTTAATCCGAGTGAAGCAAGGTGACTAAGGAAACACGGAAACAGTCAATCCCAGTAATTGCCTTTACGGAGAAGGTTGCCCTGTGGTTATTCACCGACACTGTCTTTGCTGCCTGGTCTCCAACCTCTCATTCTGTAGGTGCCGCCCTCACACCCAGTCCCAGGGAGCTCCAAGGAGGGGCTGCTCCTTGTGAATCGAGATCCTCATGGCTCAGAGCCCCCCAGTAGAGCTCTCCACCAACCTGCAATCTTGGGCGGGCGCACCTGCCCAAGACCCTTTTAAAAACAACAAGCCTTCAGGTAAACAGATTTGTCCTTTTAAACCCATAATTCACATGAAGGTCAACCCAACGTGAGTACGGTACCAGCTGGCGAGAGAACAGAGCTGTCCAGCACTGGAGCTGGGTCAGGGTGCATCAGAGTGGAACCCCGCAAGGGGTTTTTACTGGTTGAACCACTAAACCACTTACCTACGGTCAAACAAATAAATCTTTGCAGTTGAGTATTGAACCCAAATATGAGATGTAAAACTCTTATGCAAATTAGCAGGTGTTATTTTTAAGTCAAGGACTTAAGTTATTTCCCTATCAGAATGGCAACCCTGCCAGAGGCTGTGAGTGCACCTGGCGGGCAGGGCAGTGGGAGGACCCAGATCAGAGGGGCCAACTCCAGGCTAGTCAGCACTCTTTTCCTACAGAAGTGGTTTGTGACTGACGATTCCCTGGGAACTGCGAGGGCTGTTTCTCGGAGCCCTGGCGTGTGTATGCGTCTCAAGTTCAAAGTCAGATGTGTCTATGGCATCTGACATCTCGGGGTAATTTCAGAGCTGTCACTACAATCTTTCTAGTGGGATGTTCATGTTGAGATAAACTGCTTCCCCATGCAGGTAGCACCCTGAAAAATCCAGCCCACTGGCTGTGGCCGGGTAGCTCAGTTGGTCAGAGTGTCGTTCTGATATGCCAAGGTTGCAGGTTCAATTCCCGGTTGGGCACATACAAGAAACAACCAATGAATGCATAAACAGGTGGCACAGCAAATTGGTGTTTCTCTCTCAAGGAAAAAAAACAAAACTCGCCAATCCTCATGGAGCCTAGTTATCGCACCACTGAGTTTCTTCTAAATCTCTTCCCTTCCCAAGGCCCCATGCTTGTCTTCACTCTTCCTCCCCTACAGCTGATAATTCTGATTCAGTTTAATCAAGACTCAAACCATGTGACAGAAACACTTACAACTTCCCTCTTCTGCATTTCAAACCTTCTGCTTATTTTTTATGCTACTTCTTAGTCTTTGTGAATCAGAGAAAGACACTGATTTCTTTATCCCAATGGAAAACAATATAACGGGAAGAACTGAGACATAGGAGTCAGCAGATCTGGGCTCAGTCTGAAATGTGTTGACTTGGGCAAATGATATTACCATTCTGAGCCTCAGTTTCCCCATTTATAGAAAAGAGACAATCCTTCTCTACTCTATAGTAGTGTTGAGAAGGCCAATGAAACATTCCAGCACAGTGCCGGCACATAGTGGGTGCACACAGTAAAAAATATTTGTAAATCTCTTCTCTGGAAACTTGTTTCATTGATTATTTGCATATTCTTGCTTCCTTCCTGCTTAAAAATATAATGAAAAGTCTCACATTTAAAAAAAAAAAAGCAAACAAACTAAAAAAACCAAATACGCCTCAAGTTCCCTTGGTTACGTTTCTTTCTGTATCTACAATCAATCCATTTCCCTGTCCTCCCAATCGAACTCTATTAAGAGTAGTCAATGCTTGCTGCCTCGACGTTCATCTCCAACCTCTTCTCGGCCAGAGCAATAGGGAATGGAAATGAATGATTATCAACGGATTTTTAAACCACCATTGCTGTTCCATCCACATGCTGCACAACTCTCTATGCTGTCCATTGTCACAGAGCAATCTGCCTTCCTGAAGAGCAGGTGCGTCCCAGCCTTCTCCTCCCTCTTCCACCCCTACAAAGGAGGTGGTCCCTTAGCTTCTGCCCTCCACCCTATTTTCTTGCTCCAAATTCTGTCCCTGGTGATCTTATCTGCTCCTGAGTTTTCCATGACTATTTTTTCCCTCAGCCCCCACTTCATGACTTTTTTATGGGTGACCCCCAAGTTGACATCTCTAACCCCAACTGCTCTCATCACATGTCCAGCTGCCCACTGGCCATCTCTAACAAGGCAACACCAACCTTGAAAGGTCTGTGCTGAACTTGAATGTTCTCCTGCATTGTATGCGTTTCCTAGGGCTGTTACAGTAAGTTACCATGAACTTGGTGGCTTAAAACAACACAAATTTATCCTTTCATAGTTCTGGAAGCCGGAAGTCTGAAATCAAGGTGTGGGCAATGTTAGGCTCCCTCTGAAGGTGCTAGAGAAGAGTCCTTCTTTGCCTCTTGCGGCTTCTGGTGGTCTCAGTGTTCCTTGGTTTCTGGCTGCACGATGCTAATTGCTCCCTCTGTCTTCACACCACCTTCTCTCTGTGTGTCTCTGTGCCTTCATTCCTTATAAGCCACCAGTTATTGGATTTAGGCCCACTCTAAATCTAGTGTGATTTTGTCTCACACCTCGAGATTCTTAACTAATTGCACCTGCAAAGATCCTATTGCCACATAAGGTCACATTCGGAGGCCCCGTGGGCATGCATTTGGGGGGGACGACACTCCCGCTGCATTCGCCCGTCTCATCCAAGCCGCCTCCAAGGCCTCCTGGCTCAGCCCCCTCCTCCCCTGTGTGGCTCTGCCTTCTATTTATCCCATGGCCAGTCACAGAAGACCATTTCCCACTCCCTGGAACACTTCTGGCTGCATGGTGGGGTTTTTGTTTGTTTGTTTGTTTATTGTTTGTTTTTCTTGGTCCACAGCTCTCTCAGCCTGAAATTTCCTTCCCAAATCTCACTGCAGAACACCTAAAATACCACTTCAGAATGATTATCCCACGTGTGCAGGCAACATTGTTTGTATCTTTGCCACATCATTTATCTCTTCTTCCATTATCACAATTATCTACGTGTCTGGCTGACCAAACAGACGATAAGACCAATTCTATTGCAACAGAGAAAGATCCCTCCCTGACACCCTGCTGCCATTAAGGATGGAGTGAGTCATGGTCACCCCAGTTATCCAGACATTAAAGCATCTCCTTTAGTCTAAGATTACTCAAATCTGCTCTCTGTGACTAAGGGCTTTGCTCCAGCTAGGAATATAGCATCTAACTAGTCGTTCTCAAATATCGAGGGGGAGAAGGTGTAAACCACCTTACAACCCTGGACTTTATCAAGATATGCCTATCTCCTAACGATTTGGACACATTTCCATGGGTAGGGGAGATGCCATTGTGTGAGGGAGCTGTCAGGAGTGTTGGAGAGGAAAAAAAGCTGGGAACCCTGACATAACCAAACTGGAACATAGTGAAAGAAGAGAGACATCGGGAGCATCACCTGTTGACTGAAACCGGAAAATGTCTAAGGGACTCAGAAGACTCATCCTCTCTAAGGCATGCTGAGTGCCGGAAGGCCTACTGGGCCCACAACAACATGAGGTCAAGACTAAAACACTCATGGTAGATAGAATTTTAAGATGTGCCCTGTGATTCCCAGCGCTAGGCCTACCCACCTGTACAATCTCTCCCCTTAAGTGTGGACAAGACCTGTGAATATGGGACAGTAGCTTATCTGATGAGATTACTAAAATGGTCAGATGATGTTATATCATATAAGACTCGTTTTCAGAAGAAGCAGAGATTCCTTTGCTGGCTTCACAGAAGTAAGTGGCCATGTCTTGAAAAAGCCACGTGGCTAGATGCTGAGT